AAATAATTAAATGTTCTTTCTAATAAATAACAAAATTTTAGTATTTCATGTTCAGTAGTAAAATTGTTGAACCTGAAATATGATATATGGCTATATGCAATATAAGTATCAGGGATAGAAATTATTACTTTTTATAATTTATTATATTGACTTGGCAATAACATTGCAACTTTTTATGATGGTAACAATAACTAATTAAAAGCTAAGATTGGGAAGGTTACTTTTAAAAAGTAATTTGTCACTACGGATTATTTATTGAAACAAGTAACTTACTATGTTTGTTGTAACGCGTTGAAATATTACTTTTATTTGTCATTTTAACTGATTATAAATTGTGAAATATCTTTTTCCTAATAAATAACACGTGATGATAACGAGTTATTTTTTTAAATTTCTCTTTCCCAATACTTAGTTTTTAATTAATCATAAAACATTGCACTGTCATTATCAAATCTTTATCATAAAATGTAACGATTAAAGTAACAGCTCATCAATATAATGAAATATACGTCCATATACATATTCCATTCAAACATAACGGTTTTTACACATTTACGAATAATATAAATGCAGGGAATGGAAAGTTACTTTTTAAAAGTAACCTATAGATTGTAAGTATATACTAATAAAGTCACTTTAAGGAAAAAACATGTAAAATATTAACTTATTTTCAATTGTACAAATTAGTACAAATTCAGTTGTGTTAATTTATGCCCTTGTGTTGTTTTTTTTACGGTCCTGCCAGCTTAAATCTTAAATTAGCAGCGCCACTGTTTTCTTGGAAATGACACATAATATAAATAAGTAATTATAAGGTTCCGTATGTATAAAACAATATGACAATTAAAAAGGGCATAGAACCAATCTTTAAACAAAACGTATTTAATTAAATCAAATTAAAATCTCTAGATACAAACGTTTCGACTCCGATCGGGTCATTTTCAATGTTACAAATTTTTGTCATGAATCTTAAATTACAGTTATAATCTCATTAAATGGAAATAAATATGACTAAATAAAACATTACATAAATTTGCACGCGTAATCTTGTCGTTGACATAAAAAGCGCAAGTTGTCCATTATAAATTAATTTAAGTTGCGAATAAATTCATATCTAAGAAAGAATAATTATACAATTGAAACCTCAGGTTATATATAAAGAATATTGTCTATA